TGGGGTGGCAGGGGCGGGGGAGGGGGGAGCCCGTGAAGGAGGTGGGAGTTTTCAAAGCCGGGCGTGTGAGGAGTGAGCAGGTTGGGGCTCAGTGGTGCTCACGTCTTTCTCCCTGACCAGGCCAGCTCTTCGGGCCGAGAACCTGAGGGGTGGTGTGCTCAGGGCATGTCGCGGGCGCGCTCTATGTGTCCCTAGTCCTGGCCTTGGAGGGTGCTGAGGTGCCGCCCTCCTATGCTTCTGTCCCCAGCCCAGGTGCTGGCCCCGGTGGCCGTGTACTGCGGGAGTGTCCCACGGACAAGCGCCGGGCCCCGGGTGCCCCCGCCTGGAGACATGGACTCTGGCCAGCCGGCTTATGGAGAAGGTGCGCCCGGAAGACCCAGCTGTCGACTTCTTCCAGTTACCCAAGGGGCTTCTCTGGGAACGCTGGGCAGAGGATGGCAGCTCCGCCCACTGCTGCCAACCAGGGCCACTGGCCACGGGGCAGGGCTGAGCCTCGTCTGGAGGGGGAAATACGAGTTTCGTGCGGGCTGATTCCTGTGTCTTGTGGCCTTGCTGAACACACGCTTGGTGTCAGCAAGCCTTTCACCTGAGTCCTGGAGACAGAGGGGCAGAGGGAGGTCGGGGGACAGGCCCCAGCACACAGCTGTCCCTAGGAAGACAGGATCTGTGCCGGGACCCTCACCAGGGCCTCCTTCACGCCCAGGCAGCAGCTGCAGCAGTGGCTCTCACGACACCCCTCGGTGTCTCTGCCACTCGGGCTCCCGACTTCCTGCCCGGCACCAGGGGCAGACATTCTCTGCCAGCTCCATTTCGGGCCTAGGACGGAAAATCTGGTTGCCCTGGTGATGAGTCCACTTTAAGGACAGCCCCTCATGAGCCAGAGCTGGGCTTTCCTTGGGCCTGGAGGCTGCAGGAGTGCAGTGTGTGTGGGTCCTATCTGTGGGTCACTCCCTGGGGTCCTTCCCTGTCATCCCTCCCTGGGGCCCCTCTCTGGGATCCTTCCTGGGGTTCCTCACTCTGGTCCTTCCCTGGGACCCCTCTCTGGTGTACCTCTCTCTGGGTTCCTCCCTGAGATCTCTGCCTGTGGTCCTTACTCTGGTCCCTCCCTGGGATTCCTCCCTGGGGTCCCTCCCTCTGTGTCCCTCCCTGGAGTCCCCCTGTCTGGTCTTCCCTGGGGCCCCTCCCTGGTGTCCCTTCCTGGGACCCCTCCCTGGTGTCCCTCTCTCTGGGTCCCTCCTTCTGGGTCCCTCCCTGATGTTTCCAGCCTCTGTGACCTGGGCATCAGTTGTCCAGAAGGACTGGGGACTGGCAGGGCTTCAGGAGTGGTGTGTCTGAATGCTTCTGTGTTTCACTGCTCCAGGGCCCCCAAGTCCCAGGCCACAGGCCCGGTTCAGAGGGGTCTTCCAGATGCAACCCCCACCCCCACCCCGAGTGTGCAGAGCCTTTGCCTCTGTCTCTCCTGGGCACTTCATGCCTCACCTTCTCCTGAAGCTGTGTCTGGACACGTCCTGTCTCTAATTGCATGGACATCCCTCAGTGACATGGGCTGTATCACCCCCACCCCCCACAGTCCCCTGCCTGGACATGCCTGGCCCTGCAGATGCCATTAGGGCTTGTCAGTGAGTGCTGGACAGCCGTGTCTGGGGAGCAGGTGCCACTTGCTGAGCCTGCTGAGTGACCCTGGTCTGTCTGGATTTGGTGTCCGTCAGCACTGGGTGCACGGATGACCTGCTGTGTCCTGGAGATGGGCGGGTGGTGGCCCCTAGGGGGGTGGCCTTCCCTGGGTGCTTCTGGCCTCTTCCTGCTGTACCAGGACCATAGGTTGACTCCCCTTTTGTTCCCTGAGTGCCTCGTGGCTCAGGTTCTGCTCAGGTCAGGGGTCCCCCAGGCACTGTCGAATGAGTGACACCCCCCCCAGGAGTGACTGAATCACTGAATGACAGGGATTCCCTGGGTGAGCGCTGCCCATCCACAGGCCCCAGTGTCATGGGGTTGCCAGTGCCGCTGGACACTGCACCAAGCTGCTCACACCCCTGTTGCCACAGCCTCCTTGCAGCCCGCACCACATGCCCGGCTGAGTGAAGAGAAACCGTTGCGGCTCCTGAGTGGACGGGAGGACCTAGAGAGCCTCAAGCCACACGCCCCAATGAAGGACTGGCAGGCCCAGAACGGCCACCCTGGAAACCTGGGGGCCCCGTCTTTGGGGTCCCAGCCCCTGGCGCTCCCGCCCCCACTAGAGTCAGAGGCCAGCAGTGCAGCCCGGGACACCGCCCAGATCAAGGACAGACTCAAGAAGAGGAGGCTGTCGGAGGGCCCAGTGGCGTCTGCCCCAGGTGAGGTCAGGGCCGCGAAGCTCAGTGGTGCCAGGGGGCATGCTGGTCCCCTGGGTTGGTTAGGACTACCCCAGGCACCTCTCGGTGGCCTGGGTGAGCTCCCCGGAGCCACCCTCCTAGGCATCCACACACCTCCTGGATGTCCTGCCCACCCCCCACTTCTAGTGTTTGCTCCAAAGATTCCTCCTTTGATGCCCACCCTTCCCATTGGCACTGCCGGAGCTTCACGCTGGTCACGGCCACGGCTGTGCCACACCCAGGGCCCAAGTGCGCCCGCAGCCTCCGGCCCTGCAAGGCCCCAGCCTGTCACCCCGATGGGGCTGCTTCCTCCCCTTGGTCTCTGCCGTCCAGGGCCTGGAGCTCACAGGTTCTCTCCTGCCATTGCTTCCCCTACCTCCTCCTTCCCTGCCTGCTAACCCCCACCCTCCCGCTTCCGGCTCAAACGCCCTTGTCGCCAGGCCCCTCAGCTCTTCCTGTTATTTTCCTTCCATTCTTTTTTATGGGTTACAATGTGTCTTTTCTTGTGTGACAATTTAGAAAAACAATTTGTGTTTTAAAGATGGGTACAGTTCAGGGTTAGGAATACAAATGGCCAAATGGGGACCAAAGTGAGGCCCAAATTTTACGTACAAGGGCCATTTGCGCGACTATTTAAAACCTGCATTCCACCCGTGATGGTCACCCCCACCAGGCTCTGGGCATGAGGCGTGTGACTGTCACCTCCACCAGAGCAAGGACCCTGTGAGCTTCAGTTTCCCCAAGTACGCCTGTGTTACGGTGATGGCTTGCTGCGAATTGGACACAGAACTCGGGCCCCTGTGTGGGGAGGAGCGGAGTGTCCCGCCAGCCTCCTCCTCTTCCTCCTCTGGCACCTTGTGTAACGGGTCCTTGGGTGACAAGAGGAGGAAGACACCTTGGAGTCCTAGGAAGGGGCCGCTCTCACAGGCACGGTGTCGCTGGCTGCCCGCTCCCTGAGATGCCCCCTGGAGCCACGGGTGGGTCTCTGTTCCCTGGGAGCTAGGAGCACACCCGGAGCCCAGGAGGAGCCCCTGGTGGACCTCATGGCGGCAGCGGTGGCTGGAGACCTGAGAAGCTCATGAGGACGTCCAGGTGTAGCTCCTGGAGCTGCTGGCACAGACCCCCACCGGGGGCTGAAGTCTCCAGCCGTCATTTATCCCCGAAAGTTTCAGTGGGGGCAAAGGAGAGGGCTGGTGTGACCTGCCCCTGTGGCCTGCCGGCTCCCGGTCCCCAGCGCAGGGCCCGGCTGCCTCGCCTACTGAGGCTGGCTGGCTCCTCCATGCCCCTGTCTGGTGGGCCCAGTGTGGCCGGTGGTGGCGTCTCCACAGGGCGGCCAGCCCTCCTTCTGCAGTCTCGGCACCCTATAGGTGACGTCAGCACAACATAGCATAGCACAGCACAATACGGCACAGCACACCCAACACAGCACAACATACCACACCATACCATACCACAACACAGCATAGCACACTCAGCACAACACAGCACACCAAACCACACCACACTAACCACAACACAGCACAGCACAACACGCCAAATCACAATACACTGCACCAAACCACACCACACCACAACATACCACAACACAACACAGCGCATCACATCACAACACAGCATACTGCAACATGCCAAACCACACCTCACCATAACAACCACAACATAACATATCACACCACACCATACCACAACATAAGGCAATGTACCACAACACATCAAACCACACCATACCACAACACATCACACCACACCAAGCCACACCATTCCACAGTACACCACACCCAACACACACAACACACTTTGCATCCCATCACAATACACCACAACACATGACACCACAATACTACACAACATACCACAACCATAACACAACACAGCACACCACACCACTATCACAACACAACACACTATACCACAATACAACACAATTAAACATACCACAACACAGCACAGCACATCATATGACACCACACCACATCAGAACACAATGCTCCAGGGCTGAATAGCCAGCTGGGGCTGTGGGGGAGTGCGTGCTAGGCATGAGGCAGGTTTTTTAAAGAAATACTCAATTCCTGGTCGGGTGCAGTGCTGAGGTTGGGGGACACACCAACCTTGCCTTCCCTGTACTTTGGTGAAAAGAGAATAAAGACTAAGCCCTGGCAGTGGAGCAGCTTCCTGGAGGAGCTGGACCTTGAAGTGATAGGTGGACCAGAGGGTGGAAGAGGGGGAGAGGAAAGAAAAGGGGCTTCACAGATGGTTTCTTCAACTTTATCAATTTTTAAAAGCTTTATTCCTTTAGCTTAGAGTTATGGGTACCAGTGGGGATTGCCTACATGAGCAGGCTGCGTGCAGGTGAAGCTCAGGCTTCTAGCTGACCCTCTCTCATCCAATAGTGGACCAAGTACCCAGGGGGTTGTCAACTGCTCCCTCATCCCTTCCTCTCTCCCTCCCTCCCCCCAACAGCAGAACTAAAAAGTTCTGCCCAGAAAAAAAAACAAACAAACCATGAAGAGAGCAAAGAGACAACCCACGAAATGGGGAAAAAATATATGCACGCCATGCATCTGAAGAAAAGCTTAACATTTAGGATCTACAAGGCACTCAAAGTGAAAGAAAAAACAAACAATCCTATTACAAAGTGGGCAAAGGACATGAACAGGCACTTCTCAAAGGATGGCATACAAGCAGTCAACAGACACATGAAGAGAGGCTCAGCTTCACTAATCACCAGGGAAATGCAAATCAAAACTATAATGAGATGCCACTAACACCCATCAGGATGACCATTGTTAATAAGTGGAAAAACAACAGGGGCTGGCGTGGGTACAGAGAAGATGCTTCTACACTGTTGGTGGGAGTGTAGGCTAGCTCAGCCTCTAAGGAAAGCAGTGTGGTGATTCCTAAAAGAACTAAAAATTGACCTTCCATATGACCCAACAATCCCTCTCCTGGGAATATTCCCAGAGGAACATAAATCCCTCTACCCAAAATGCCTACACACACATGTTTATTGCCACACTATTCACAATGGCAGAAATATAGAGCCAACCCAGAGGCCCACTGAAAGTGGACTGGATAAAGAAAATGTGGTACATATACACAATGGAGTATTATGCAGCCATAAAGAACAAAACCAGACCTTTGCAGCAATGTGGATGCAGCTGGATGTCTCTGCAGTGTGAGGCGGGGGACCCGGGGGGGTGTGAGAGGGCACACAGTGTGCAGGTGAAGAGGAAGGCATGGCCTGCCCTGTAGACCACAGCAGCAGTGTCTCGTGTTAGAACAGCCACCCCACGTTGTTAGTGACAAGGGAGGGAACAGAAGGAAACTCGTGGCCCTGCCCCATGCTGCGTGCTTGCTTGACGCTTTAGAGGCACTGCCAAGTCTTGTGAACCTGTTTTACAGAAGCACACATGGGCTCAGAGAGACTGTGGTTGACCCAAGGTCACACAGCTTCCACCAGGGCAGGCCTGGTTGTCCCCACTCCTGAACCTGCTCCCTCTCTGCCCACACCCCCTCTGGATCTGTGTGGCGACATGGACAGTGATTTCTGCTGAGTCCTACAGGCGGGGACGAGGGCACTCGGCGCCATCCTGTGCTCAGCCTGCACTGTGTGCAGCTCGGCCACTACCTTCTCCTGGTCATTCCAGTCTCCTGGACACGGGGTCCTGTTGCCGCCTTCTGAATGTCCCCTCTCACTTCCTATTCTTCCGGGACTAACTGACTCCTCTTCCCCCATGCAGCCTCCCTGGATCCCGGCAGAGACCCCCGAGGGGTCCCCCTGTGGGGCGCCATCCCACGCGTTCCCTCTCGGAGACTGCTGGGGGTGCCGAGGCCCATGCCTCCCATCCAGAGCATCCCCGCCACCCCAGAGGCCAGTGGGGACACAGAGAAGGTCCCGGACAGGCATGGGAGCCGCCAGGGTCTGCAGGAGGTGAGGTGTGGCCCCTGGAGTGGAGGTGTGGTCCTAGGCGGTGCGTGTGGTCCAGAGGCACAGAGGCCACAGGACGCCTGTCCTGGAATGGGGGCCCCTCACCCCTTGGTCCACATGTTTCATAATTCCTCTCGCCTCATGCCCCTCTCCATCTCAGCCAGGGTCTGGGCAGAGGAGAGGGATGCTGGCCTGGGCTTCCTCTTGGCCCCACCGGCCGTGTGGCCTTGGGCAAGTCTTGCCGCTCCTGGACAGGTGAGGGGTGAGACCTACCAGCCCAGCCCCTGCCCCCTCACCTGCCCACAGGTGCCGATGTCCCTGCGGTACCCGCACTGCCATGGTGAGAAGGCACGCAGGGCCCTGGAGGTCCCTCCTGTCACCAAGACCAGGATGCGCACGGTGACCTCCTCTTGTGGGTCCAGCACCCATCCTGGCCCCTGGCCTCCAGGCCAGGATGTCCCCACGGGCCTGGGGCCTCCACGCACACGGTGAGAGCCTCTATCACCTCCTCGCTGGCTCCACCCCCTCTGTCCCCCGAGACCCGCTGGGCTTCCTCCTGGCTGGACCTCTGCACCCGGCAAGCTCGGGGCGGCCAGCTGGGCGGGGGAGGGCAGGTCCGCTCGTGGTGGACCTGGGGAGGCCACAGCCTCGTTGCTGTCTCTGCTCAGCCCCGCAAGTGGGTGTGGGGTGTCCAGCAGGGTGGCCGGCCTCTTCTGCTGGTGATGGTGGCGGGGCTGCCAGGTGGTGGGAGGTGCCTAGTTGTGCAAAGGCGGCTGAGTGAATAGTGGTGTCATGCGTGTTGTGAATAGAGGGGGACTGTGTGTGTGTGTGGGGGGGGAGTCTCACACACTTTGGACTGAAAAGGGGTCTTTGTGCCCCTGGAGAAGAGGGGAAGAGGACCTGTGTGTTGTCATCTGGGCTATGACTGGTAGGCGGGAAAGACAGTGTCCTACAGAGGCATATGTGTGTGAATACATGTGTGTGAGCATGTGTATGTGAAAGTGTGTGACAGCATGTGTCTTAGTGTGTGTGCATGTATGTGTGCTGGAGCATTCATGTGTGTACATGCGTGTGAGTACATGCGTGTGAGTACACACACATGAAAGTGTGTGTGTATGTGTGAGCACATGTGTCTGAGTGTGCATGTATCATGTGTGTGTGAGTATGCATGGTTTATGTGTGTGAGCACATCTGTGTGTCCACGCACTCACACCCAGAGGCTGGGCTTTCCCACGTGGTCACGGCCAGGCCCCTGCTGTCCGTCGGCCTGGTGACTGGGCTCTTGCATTGCTTTGGCTTCTTCCCTCTCGTGTCCCTGCAGCCTCCTCTCTGTGCATACACACACACACACACACACACACACACACACACACACACACACACACACACAGACATGCACATCCATACACTTCTCCAGCTCTGTGGGTGTGGCCCCATTTGTGGTCCTGCTCCTGGGCTGAGTTCCCTGCCAGCCTCTGTATTGACCATGGCCTCAGCCGCGGCCTCTCCCTCCTAGTCACCACCCCATCCTCCTTCCCTCCTGCTCAGCCACGGCCTCGGCCTCCCATGACGGTCGCTGACTCTGTGGCCCCGCCTGGCCTTTCCTCCCACCTTGCCACTCTTGACGTTTTGCACCACTGGAGTCCACGTGGCCCTTGACCTGTCCTTCTCTCCCCTTCCTCCTGTTCTCTTCCTGACCTCCCAGTGAAAGGCACACAATTGGTGTTCAGGGAGGTAGAACAAGCCGTGGCACACAGTGGGTTTTCAGCGTTAGAATGGAGCCTGGCACACAGTGGGTCTTAAGTGACTTAGAATAAGTCATGGAGCACAGTGGGTCTTCAGTGAATTAGAACAGGGCCTGGCACACAGTGGGTCTTCAGCAAGTTAGAACAGGCCCGGTGCACAGTGGGTCTTCAGTGAGTTAGAACAGAGCCTGGCACACAGTGGGTCTTCAGTGACTTAGAATAAGTCCCGATGCACAGTGAGTCTTCAGTGAGTTAGAACAAGCCATGGCACACAGTGCATGTTCAGTGAGTTAGAACGGGGCTTGGCACACAGTGGGTCTTCAGCGGGGGTCTGCAGGATGAGTGACTGCTGCGTCTGACTTGGTCGCAATTAAAAGCAGTGCTGGATGTCCCTGCCTCCCTTCTGGCGGTGGTGGGTCCTGAGCCTCTGGTGTAAAGCTGGGGTTCTCTGTTCACAGTGAAGGGGTCCAGTCCCGCCAGGCCCCAGGGACAGGGATGAGGGCGGTCGTGAGGGATATTTGGGGGCCGCAGAGCTCTCAAGGGCTGGGGCCATCTGAAGAGCGTGGACTCGGGGTCCTCTGCATGGGGAGGCGGGTCACCCTCGTCCACGGCAGCCCTGGCGACCCCACAGGCCCAAGTCCCACAGCGGGGTGGAGGTGGGGCATCTGTAAGACTCAGTGTCTCCCGGGGACACGGGGCTGGATGCTGTGTCTGGACCCCACCTGGCCTGGCCCCTGGTTCCCTGCCTCGTGTTAATGACGAACCCGCGTCTCCTGCTGCCTGGGCCCATCCCAGAGCCTTGGCTGGAATGACAGCCCCCGGCCCGTGTCCCCATCCTGGCCAGCACCCGTCCTAGGCTCCTCTGGCCTGTCCCCGGTCCTCTTCTCGTGACGCCCTTCTCTGCGGTTCTTTTAAGGCTGCTGCGGGAGCGTGGACCTCAGGAGGCGCTGCCTCCGCCTCTGGGTACGTACTCCCCACACGCCCCTGCTGTTGGACTCTGCGTCCCAGGCTGGGTCCTAGGAGCAGAATAAGGGCCGAGGGGACTGGAAAGCGGCGTGTCCAGTCCTCATGGAGGAAGCCACCTGGGGCCCACATGCGGAAAAGCTTTGCTGGGTGTGCTGCGAACCCTGCCCAGGCAGCTGCCCAGAGAGGGACGGGCTTCCGACCGATGTGTGGGCACCGAGGCTCCTAGTGGATGCTGCCCTGCATTGAGTCCTGTGAGGCTGTGATCAGGCTAGCTCACCCGGAAGCCTCATTCACTGCCCCTGCACCGTGGCGAGGTGCAGGTCTGGGGCAGCGTCCCTGCTGGGGAGCTGAGGGGTGACTTGCACACAGGCCTGCACGGCGAACAGGCCAGCCCTGGAGAGGCAGGAGAGGGGGCTGGGCAGGAGGTTTTTTTATTGTTTTAGAGACCTGGCCTTACTCTGTCACCCAGGCTGGAGGGCAGGGGTCTGATCATTGTTCACTGCCACCTCGACCTCCTAGGCTCAGGTGATTCTCACACCTCAGCCTTCCTAGTGGCTGGGGCTGCAGGCATAAGCCCCCATACCTGCTAACTTTTTACTTTTTGTAGAGACAGGGTCTCGCTGTGTTGCCCAGGCTTGTTTCCAACTCCTGGCCTCAAGTGATCCTCCTGCCTCAGCCTCCTGGGATTACCAGTGTGAGCCACTGTGCACCAGGAAGCCTTGAAGAGGGGGGAGGGATCCTTTCCAGCCAGATGATTGGACCCTGTGGGGAGGCAGGAAAGGGGGAACCCAGGCCTTCACAGGGATGTGAGGCTGCTGTGTGCAGGTTGGGGGAGCAGAGTGTCCTCTGCCCTGGCTCGGGGCGGCGTGCCCTGGAGGCAGCTGCTGTGCTGACTGGCAGGAGGGGAGGGCGCTCCTCCCATCTCTCCAGCTCCCTGGCAGAGCCTCTGCCATCAGCCCAGCAGGTGGGACCCCTGGGAAGGGTGGAAGCCATTGTCCAAGAGGCCTGGCGTCAGGGCTTGGCGCTGGGCCTGACACAGACACCACGGTGGCCACTGCTTCCCCTGCCCTGGTCAGGCTGTGACAGTGAGCTCAGCGGGCTGCCCCGGTGTCCTCAGGAGCTGCCCAGGGGATGCCTGCGTGGGGCTTAGGCCAGGATCTCTGTCCACGAGGGCTCCCTGCTTTGGTTCATCAGTGCCTGAGAACCAGGTCCCAGGCCCAGACCAGACAGGCCCCCTGGGTGGCCCTCAGTGTCCAGGTAGAGGAGAGCGACAGGGAAATCGGTCCTGAGAGACTCTCTGCCCTCTGATGCCCACGGGGGCAACGCTGCCTGTGTGTCCGTGCCCACGCAGGGTGCCCATGTGGCACTGTCAGAGTTGGAGGCTTCAGGTCTGAGGCATTCCTGGCATCCTCGTCTGGCCACGCAGGCCTGGACCACCAGACCCTTTGCCTCTCACCTCTGGGCAGGAGCCTTCCAAGCCCCTCTTCTCCCGGCCCCTCTCCCAGCACCCGCAGATGAGTCCCTAGCAGAAGGCCACAGGGCAGAGGGAGCTCTGTGGGGCCCAGATTCAATCTGCTTTTCCTGCCTCGGGGGGTGCAGAGGGCGGTCCCATCTCGACAGACCCCTGATTGGCAGGTTCACCCTAGGTGGTGAGCTCTAAACCTTAGGAGGTGAGGGGTTGTCCCAGGAGGCGAGGTGTGGCCGTGGAGGTGAGGTGTGTTCCCAGGAGGTGAGGCATGGCCCTGGAGGTGAGGTGTGGCCCCTGGAGGCAGAAGGTTAATGAACCCTTCCTGCCCTGTCTCCATACTGGAAAATGCACCTTTAAGACCCAGGGCCTGGGGAAATTCGCAAGGACAAAGGGTGTTATGGCTCTGCTGCCCTGGGAAGTGAATTTGCACTTTGTCCACACAAGGGCGTCTGAAGGTTGCTGGCTCTCTGCTTCCATCCACTAAGGACTTGACCCGCTGGCTTCCCTCCTCGGACCCCTTCCAGCGCTGGCCATCACGCTGTGCTATGGTTTCAGATGGGCCCAAGGTGTACCATGGGTCAACGCACCCGTTTTATGTTTTCTTCTCCTTAGGTTCGCGCCTCCCAAGTAAGAGACACTTCTGTTCTCTGGCAATATCTTGGGCTGGGCAGAGTGGTACAAGCCTGTCATCCCAGCACTTTGGGAGGCCGAGGCAGGATTACTTGAGGCCAGTGGTGTGAGATCAGCCTGGACAACATAGTGAGACCCCATCTCTAAAAAACACCCTTAAAAAATTAGCCATCTGTAGTGGTGCCTGTAGTCCTAGCTACTCGGGAAGCTGAGGTGGGAGGATAGCTTGATCTGGGTCAAGACTGCGGTGAGCTGTGACTGCCACTGCACTCCAGCCTGGGTGACAGAGTGAGGCTGTATCTCTAAAAAAATACCCAGACATAACTTAGACCTCCCAGATGACAGATCTGACCCTGTTTCTTGCCCAGCCTCCTCATTTCTCGCTTGTTTAGGGATGAGGTGTGCAGTCATTGTTGAATAAGTGAGTGAGTGAATGAATGAATGAAGGAGGACGATGCCCTACAGACAGTCCAGCTGTGCCTGTCACGGCTGCTCTGTGCTGCAAACCTAATGTGTGCCTTCTCTGTCGGGGTGGAGCAGAGGGTGGAGGCCTGGGAGCGACCTGCCAGCCTCTGGGCACGAGCTCAGAGCAGCCGAGGGCCTGGGGTTCCCAGCTCCAACCCTGCTCTTGGCCCCTCAGAGCCAGAAGCCGTGGCTGGAGCCAGGCCTGCGGCTGCCCAGAAGCCCACCCTGCCTTCATCTCTCTCGGACCCCATGCGGACAGTCTTCTCCCGTGGCCGTGCCAAAGACGCCCATCCCCAGCTGCAGGAAGAGGACCAGAAGGGGACCAGCAACAAGGTGCCTGGGGAGGCAGAGGGGGGCTGAGAGCCAAGGGAGACCTTCGGGGGGAGGCCAGGAAACCTCTGAAATATACAAGCCTGGACTAGCTGGTGACAAACGGAGCAGAGTAAGGAAGGTTTAGAGGAAGACGGCAGGAGGGCTGGGGCGAGGGGATGGCAGGGGGGACAGGAGGATGGGGAAGGGTGGATGGGGAGGAGACTTTGTCCACCATGGGCGGGGCCGATGGGGACACAGAGGTCACCCGGGGCCATGGGCAAGAGGGCTTAGGGGAACCAGCTGTCGTCTGGGCCAGCGCCCGGGACAGCAGCGGGGACAGCTGACAAGCCCTCAGCCAAGCGGTGCCCAGGCCCTTCTCAGGGGACCTTGGAGGAGCACTCCCCAGCCGGGCGGCCTTGGTGGCACTGGGAGCCACTGCCACGGGACTGTGCTCACTACTAGACGCTGATGGTGTGGCCCATGTGCCTGTGCTCTGGGAGTTAGTCTCCCTGCCGGCACCGCAGCCTCCCCACTCGAGGGCTCAGAGGAGGCAGAAGCAGGGTGTCCTGTATTGTGCGGCCGTCCCGTCCTCCGCCTCCCGGCCACACCCTGGCCTGACATCAGTCACAGTGGCCCCAGGGGCTCAACTGCGATGATCCTCCATCTCAGGCCTGCCCACCGCCCTGCCCACCCACCTGGTGCGCCCTCCAGCGCTCGCTCCCTCCCCTGCCTCCCAGGGAGCCCTGTGGAATGGGGGCATCCCGCCTGCTTCCCAGTTCTGTGGCCCGCGTCCTCTGAGGCCAGCGAGCAGAACCAGGGAAGCCACTGTCACGTCCCTGCCCATTCTCTGCATCCCCGCCAGCAGACTTTCCTCAGAGCTACCCAATGGAGCTGCCACATCACAGGCAGCCGTGACCTTCCCCTCCCAGAGGCACCCTGTCTCAGTCCTCTCCTCCCTTGACCAACATTCAGCTTTTTTTTTTGGTGTGTGTATGTGTGTGTGAGTGTGTAAATCGGGGCCTCACTGTTGCCCAGGCTGGAGTGCAGTGGCATGATTATGGCTCTCTGCAGCCTCAGCCTTCTGGGCTCAGGCGATCCTCCCGCCTCAGTCTCCTGTGTAGGTGGGCTACAGGCAGGCATCACCACGCCTGGCTAATTCTTTTGATTTAATAGAGATGGGGTCTTGCTATGTTGTCCAGGCTGGTCTTAAACTCCTGGGCTCAAGCAATCCTCCCTTCTATGTCTCCCAAATGCTGGGATTACAGGTGTGAGCTACTGTTCCCTGCTGGTGTTTGTGTTTTAAGCAAATGTTATCACAAAAGAGCAAAAGAAATAGTAAAAGGCTTATAAAGTAAAAAAGTTAATTTATTAGTGAAAAAAAATATATATTTAGTCAAATTCTCACTCTGACTCCCAGGCCTCTCCCAGCTCATCGCAGCCTCAGACTCCTGGGCTCAAGTAATCCTCCCAACTTAACCTCCCAAATAGTTAGGACTACCGGCCCCACCATGCCCAGCTAATTTTTTGTAGAGACAGGGTCTCACTATGTTGCCCAGGCTGGACACCCCAGCTTCCGACATAACGTGCAGCTCACCCACCAGGGGTGGCGTGGGGGGTGGGGGGCGGCTCTTCCCTGGTTCTCCGCCCACTCAAAGGCCCTTTTTCTGCGGGTCCCTCCTCCTCTCCCTGAGCTCTGGGGGCCAGAGTCCCCAGACACGCTGTCCTCTGGAGCCCCCAGTGCCTGGCCCTCTGGCCTCTTGCCAGGCATTGAGTGCCGGCTCCATGCCGAGGTGTGAGCCACCGTGAGGACCCCCGATTCCCCCTCGCCGGCCTCGACCTTCCCGACCCCCAGACACGCATATGCAAGGCTACTCAGCATCCCATGTCCAGCTTGCCCTGTTCCACCCTCCGTCCTCGAGCCCACCTCACAAACCTCTTTCCCAGGGTCCCTGCTACGGAGGGCAGCGACAGGCACTTCCAGCCACTTGGGCCGAGAGTCTGAGGCTGTTGTGGGTGCCACCTTTTCTCTCCCCACACCCCGCATCTCGGTCAAGACCATAAGCTCAGTCTTTGAAGCACAGCCAGAATCTGACCAGGCACTGTCCCCATCCCGGGTGCCCCCTGGCTCTGCCACCACTTGCTCGCAGGCCCAGCTGCCTTCCCGCCCTCCCTCCAAGTCGGAGGGCTCCTAGGGGCAGAAGTCGGTGTGCCCTGTAGATGTGGAAGATGCTGTCTCTGGGGAAGCCGGTGGGGGGACACGGCTGTCTTGGTTCTGTCTTGGTGGCTCCTTATGAGTCTTCAGCTGCTTCAGAGTAAAGTTATTACAAACAGCACTTAGAGACCCCCCCCCATGACGTCGTGTCATGTCACCACTCAATTCAAACCTTAACCGGCTTCCTGTGTCCTTCCGAGGAGCGGCTCCGTCCTCCCATGGACGATGAGGCCCGTGTGACTCCTGCCACTTCCCCATACTGTGTCCTACTGCTTCTCAGAGCTCCAGGCAGTCCCACTGGACCCACTGTCCCCCTGTCCCCTCCAGCCAAGAACACGGCAGTCACAGGGCCTTTGCACCAGCCCTCCTAGGACTCTGTGGCCTGCTCCCTCCTTGCGTAGAGGAGTCCCTCAGCCTGTCTGGAAGGAAAGCACTGTCCTTTTTTTCTTGCTTTCAGCACATGCTGCCTGGTGCTGGAGATCCATCTGGGTTTTGGCCCCCAGTCCATGGACTCTCGTGAAGCAAGGACTGTGTCGTTTCCGTTCACTTCCAGGGCAACGACAGGCACACAGGGGACACTCACACTTTAAAAACATAGAAATTCTAATTCTTTTAGAGACAGGGTCTCACTCTGTTGCCCAGGCTGGAGTGCAGTGGTGCGATCACAGCTCCTGGGCGCAGACAGTCCTCCCACCTCAGCCTCCCAAGTGGCTGACACTCCAGGCACGTGCCGCCATGCCCAGCTGATGTTTGTATTTTTTGTAGAGACGAGGTCTTGCTATGTTGCCCAGGCTGGTCTCGAACTCCTGGCTTCCTGTGATCCTCTTATGTCAACCTCCCAAAGTGCTGGGATTCCAGGTGTGAGTGACTGCGTCTGGCTGACATGCTCATTTGATGACTGAAGGAACGAACACAGGTACAGAAAGTCCGGCTGGGTCCTCAAGGCTAAAAGAGTTTGCCTTGACCTTGCGCCAGACTCAAGTCACCATCTCCAAGTCCGCACGGGAGAAAATGCGACTGAGGCAGATGAAGGAGCTGGAGCGTCTCCGGGGGGTGTGGGAGCCAGAGAGGGTGCAGGAGCCGGAGAGATTGTGGAAGCCAGAGCCAGCGCGGAAGCCGGAGTGGGCGTGGGGGCCGACGCCCCAGGGCTCGGGCGCCCCAAGGCCCCTGGTGAAGGAAGGTACTGGGTGCCTGGGGTGGGACCCCCTCAGGCCAGGAGACATCTTGGCTGACTCTGACCCCTGGGTTCCCGACCTCCAGATGTTGGTTGTCCGTGGTGCCCACCCTCCCATCCCGAGTAGGCTGGGAGCCGCGCTCCACCTGCCGGGGAGGTCCAAGGGGACCTTGAGACCACAGGACCGGCTTGTCCTGAACCCCCTGCCTGCACAGGCCTCCTTCCGCTCCGGGGCAGTGGGACCCTGTCGGTGCCCACTGGGCTGAACAGCCCCCACAGAAGCAGCACCAGTGGCGTCTTGAGGAAGCGGGCCAGTCGGTCCTCACTGCCCGCCATCCCCGTCAGCAGGCAGGAGCCCAGCCTCGCCCGCCACGCCTCAGGTGGGTAGACCTGACGGGGCACACGTGTGCCTGCCTGCACGGCCTTGGGCGCTCTGAGGCATGGCGCAGGGGACTCGTGCTTGGCCTCTGCCCGTGCCCCCGTGGACCGGGTCAGCCTGGGCTGCTGGTCACATTGCCAGGCATGTGGACTCAGTTATCTGTGACCCTGGGACATGCCCAGCCGGTGTGACGTGTCCTGGAGGAGTGACCAGAGCAACAGGGCCGATGCTGGACGCCGGCATCCAAGGGGGTAGCTGGGAACGGCAGGAAGAGGAGAGAACATTCTGGGAAGACCTGGTTTCCTGCCTGCGGTCTTGTGAGGGGCAGGGCTGGGGGGGAGGCTGGTGGAGTCAGAGGACTCAGTGGTGCCGAGGCCACAGGGTAGGGACAAGGACGTCCCCTTCCTACCAGAAGCCTCTATTTGCCTCACTTTTTGTGACATTCACATGAGCTTTCATTTGAAAAGATTTTGCCACAAAATCACTTGCAGCCAGCCTGGCACCGAGTCTCTGTGGGCATGGGCCGTGGTGGGCAGCGGCCGTGGAGTGGAGCGTGGCTTCTGTGCCACAAGGGATGCCCGCTCACTCCTCCTCACTGCCTGCCCCCTCCAGGTCGCTTTGGGGGGAGAGTCTTCATCTGTTTGGCCCCGAGCTCCTCCCTTTGGGAACAGACACCCCTCAAGCTCAGGGACCCAGATCAGAGCCCACTGTGATCTTCTGGCTGGAGCTTTAACATTGTTTCTCTTTTACTGTAAATATTTATCGTAGTCCATGACAAGTAATGTCAACTAACCACTTATGGTAGGGACACAAAATTCCAGCTACTTGGAAGACTGAGGCGGAAGGATCGCTTGAGCCCAGCAGGTTGAGGCTGCAGTGGCCATGAGTGTGCCACTGCACTCCAGCCTGGGCGACAGAGTGAGACTCCAACTCAAGAAAAAAAAAAAAAAAAAAAAAAAAAAAAGGAACAAACCAAAAACCAAAAAATCCTCCCAAATTCCCTTTAGAATAAGTTTCTTTAGGATTTGAAGAGTGGCTTGATTTGAAGAAGAGGACAAGGTAAATAAAGGGGCAGGTTTTTAAGGAAAAAAACAACTAAAACATATTTACTTAATATACATCACAAGGACTCAACCAAAGACTTAATTTAAAAACAAACAAAACAAAGAAAACACTACAGCTACAGGAAAGGACAGATCATCTAAGAAAAGATAAAATAAAAGATGACACAGGAGAGGCTGGACAGCTTGGGTCAGGGCTCCTGACTGGAGACCTGCTTTGAGTAGTTTTCTTGCAGGTGCTTCTTACAAGCTGTGGGGTTTTTCCAGAGTTTGGCAGCATGTGTATTTAAAGGGTTGTTGGGTTCTCCTAGCAGGCTCTGGATGGAAAGCGGGACGGTCCTCACATCATAGAGGGCAGATGACTTGTCCTTCAGATGTCCAGGCAGATGTTACTCTGGGTGTCCACGTTGGGGTGGTAGTAGGGTGTAAGGAACTTCACCGCGGGTGCATCTTCAGGGTAGCCGCTGGGAACTCCGGAGAGAGCTTATACCTGCTCTGTGGATGGTCTCTACCCATTTGAAAAGGTTGTCTGATTCGGAAAGCAGAAATTCCTTTGTCACCAGACATCACAAGGGTCATCAGCTCCTGCTGTAGCCTTCTGCCCATGGGGCCCTGGGCGATGCCCCTGCTAGGCTTGATGCTGGTGGCAGCTGGGTCTCGGTTTTGGGAAGCCATCCGGGAGGCGCTGGCAGGAAGACAGAGACTCAGAAAACACAACGACAACTGCAGGGCTGGGGACCCAGGGGCAGGTTGTTAAGATAGGAACAAATCATGGAAGTGGGGAGGGCATGACAGCTGGGAAACGCTGATCTGACAGGCAGCAGGACCAAGACCCGCAGTCACCTGAGGTCGCCCGTGGTCAGCCAGGGTCCCTCAGGGTGATGAGGCTGAGACTGGCTCACAACTTGTCCCAGGGCAGCCTGTTGTTGTCTCTCGTGATGTGACCCGTGTATGTTTGGAGGGTGAAGGTGTGGGTGGAGAGAAGGTCTTCACGCAGGTCAGGAATGTTGGACGCAAGCAAGAAGCCACCACTCCACTCAGAGCCATCCTGCGGCCAAGTGAACCTCTTGGCCCTCCTCCTCCTCTCTCCTGAGGGTGGACGCGGAATCCCTTAAGTTGCCTGACAGTCTGGCCCTGTGTCTACTTCTGGCTGGAGGAGATGGAGCTTCAGGACTGTGACCTTGGTTGTCCCCGACCGTCTTAGGGCTTGGGACTAGTCAGGTGGCCTCTGAGGGCCTTCCTGCTCTGGGAGACTGTGACTCCAGAATCTGTCCCCAGGACAAGCCGGGAGATGGCTGAAGGAAGGACAGCCTGCCACGAGTCCCTGTGAGCTAACTGCATCCGGTGTCAGTTAGCTGTGACTGTCTCAGGGCTTTCACTGTGGCCATGCCCTCCTCAGCCATCTGCCCTCGGACGTGTCCCTGCAAGGGTGACAGAGGGCTGGATGGCTGGAGGGGAGGGGACGAATGGGGGGCGAGGCCTGTCATTCATTCCTGGTGTGGAGGATGTGGGGCTCGCAGCAAAGGCGGGCAGGTTGGTGGGCCCCAGCGGCACGTCAAGGCCCATGAGCTCAGACAGCCCTATGGACAAGGGTGGGGCGGCCAGGAAGCTGAGGTGGAGAGGGTACTAGGCGCAGGTCTCCCGTCTCTCCGGGCCCTGGCCTCTGTCAGGTGGGCTCAGGCTGCGTCAGGCCCTGCGGGCCGGGGTGGAGAGGGGCCATAGGCTCCATCAGTCCTTCCGTGAAACCACCTGTTTCCTTCTTTCTGGGGAATGCAGCGAACTCGCTCCCCGCGGTGCTCATGCTGGGGTCTCCCAAGTGGATCGAAGAGGAGGAGGAGCTGGACCTGAGAGCCTTCAAGGAGGCGCGGCCTTTCTCGAACCCGGAGCTGGGGCTGGTGGACGCCCTCCAGTGCCTGGGCAGCAGTGACTGGTGAGAGGCTTGGCAGGGGGTGGGAGGACAGCTCTGTCCCGGGAGGGTGTGTGTGTAATGAGTGTGCATATGTGTGCAAGTGTGTGTGCACATGCATAGGGGCTCTGGCCTCTTGTGTCTGGACCTTCTGTGCCGCCTGTGCATGACTTCGTGACACACCAGAGTCTCGTGGTCAGGGTGAACCTGACCCCACAGGTGGGCCCAGCAGAGGTCGTGGCCCGTGGTTTCCCTGAGCCATGTTTGACCAGTTCTGAGTGCTCTGTCCACGTCCTGGCAGAGTCTGGGTCATGGACAAAGTGATGCCACGGGGCTTGGAGCATCTGTGGGAGCCTCCCATCCAGCCCTCCCTGCTCTGGCTTTCTTTGAAGGCGTCGGTTCTGTGCCAAGGACTCAAACAGGCCACAGGGGCGGGTGCCATGCCAGCGCGGCCCGAGTTGGGGCAGCCGGGCCTGTGAGAGGACCTTTGCTGAGGGGTTAGGATTCCAGACTGGGTCACCAGGACCTGCTCCTGGCTGCAGGAGGGTGGTGGGGCGGGACCAGGGTGCCTGGCTCTGCGGAGCAAGGTGGAGACGGGGCTGGGCTTTGCTTCTCAGGCAGGTGAAGGAGAAGGCCCTGGTGAGCGTGCGGCGCCTGGCGGCCTGCCACCCTGAGGTCCTCGCTGGGAGGCTACATGACGTGTGCTTGGCGGTGACCGGGGAGGTGTGTACCGTGCTCTTGGCCCTGCCCCGGCTGCCCAGCGTGGTCCCCAGCAGCTTCAGAGGCCGTGGCTCCTGGCACACGGGGTCCCTGCCCGCTGCTCTGCCCCTGGCCTCCAAGGCAGGAGGTGGCCACCCATTTATCAGATTGGAAGACTGAGGCCAGGGCCTTCCTTGTTTGCAATCTTGGGGAATTGAAACAATGAGAACCCTTTGTGTCTGTTTGTCCCAGTCTGCATCGTTCTCTGTCCTTGCAATGCCTGAGACGGGATGGCGTGTCCCAGGGTGGCTGTAGATTCCCGGGGCCTTTCTTGTGGGCACTGGCTGGGTCTCAGCTGGCCCAGAGAGGCTGCAGGACACGTCTGACCTCACATGGAAGCTGTACCCAGCCTGGGGAGGCAGGTGTGACCACGGGATGCTGTGTGGACACGCTGAGGTCCGGGCTGCGTGGGAGGGAGCCCGTGCGTCCTGCTCGTTGCCTGGGGGTCTGTGTCTTCCTCTGGAAATGGGTGTCATAGGGTCCCTGCTTCTAAAGTTGTGAATCCATTTGGAGACCGAGTGCTGTCCATGTCCAAGTGGTAGTGACAGTGAGGGGCCCATTTGTGCTGGTAACCCAGTGGGCTGTTCTGTTCAGAGCTCCAAGGCTCTTGGGCCCCAGCGAGGCAGGCCTGGGCTGGGGCGGATGGCGCGGGCCCTTTCCCTGCAGGCTCCAGAGTGTGGGCATGGTCAACGTCCTGCAGAGGTCTCTCTTTCTCTCCAGGTCTCCAACCTCCGCTCCAGGGTGTCCCGCCTGGCCATTCGCACGCTGGGTGACCTCTTCCGGGCCCTGAGGAAGAGCATGGACCCCGAGGCTGAGGAGATCGCCCGCTGCCTTCTCCAGAAGATGGGCAACGCCAGCGAGTTCATCCAGAGAGCCACTGGCCGTGCCCTGGCAGCCATGGTGGAGGGTGTGACCCCTGCCCGCTCCCTGGCAGCCCTCACCTCAGCCGGTGTCTAGTGCGTGGCCACTTGGGTGGGGCGGCCGACCTTGGGAGGTGGAAGGAGGAGGGGAAGCTGGGAGAGGGGTGAGAGGGAGGGAGGGAAGGAATTGAGGCTTCGGGGCCCTTTAGGAGGTCAGGAGGTCTGAGTGGATGGGCTCACAGCAGGCACCCCCACTCAGCTGAGGGAGGAGGGGCCCTGCTTCCCAGCGGGCTCGGTTCCCACGGTCCTGGACTGGGTGCTCGGTGAGGCGAGAAGGGCCGAGGTTGCTCTCAAGCTTGGGAGCCCAGGGGAGAAGAGAGACTCTGACTGGGTAGGACGCTTTTGAGGGGGGAAATGGGAAGGTGTGTTAGACACTAGAGACCACGTACGTGGAGACAAGGGGCTACCTGGAGACATCGTGCAGCCTCGGGGTGTTGACTGCTGTCCCTACTGTTAGGAAGACCCTTCGGCCTGCCTGAGGCAGGTCCTGGAGCCCCCACTGGCATAGCCCTGGGTCTAGGAGGGCAGACCCGCTGTGCCGGCCTGGGGATGCCAGCCCTGTCCTGAGGCGGGTCCCCTACCACGACTGTGCTTACAGCCACCGGAACCCTCTGGTCCGGAAGTGCACTGCTCGACACCTCTCGGCCGTGCTGGAGCAGATCAGTGCTGAGAAGCTTCTCGCGGGTCCCAGGGTCAGCACAGATATGTTGGTGTACAACCTGCTGAGGCTGGCCCAGGACTCCAACCAGGACACCAGGTAGGGCAGGGCCAGGGCCCAGGGTGGAGCAAGCCAGCCCGAGGGGCCCAGAGCATGTGGGTTGTGTCCCAGGGTGCTGCGGAGGGACAGTTGGGTGGACAGAGCTGTGTCCTGTCCTCACAGCATGCCCAACACCATGGCCAAGCCGTTCAGGGAGCGCCCTGCCCCCACCCTCGCCTTCCAGCCCCCTCTGCCCACCAAGCGTTTCTTTGTTTCTGTCTCCCAGAACCATTCTCGACAAGACCCTTCTCTGTAAGACAGTCAGCCATGTTTTCCTGAGGTATTTAACGAGCTCTGTTTTCCCAGGCAGGGCAGAGGGTGAGAAACAGGAAGCCTGGTTGTCAGAACTTACCTCCTAGCCGAGGGAACAGAAGCAATGCAATGTTATGATGATCTTAGACATGGATAAAGGGCATAGAAAAATACCAAGAAGACAAATGGAGACAGGGTGGGCTACTTAGACAGAGGGTGGAGGAGGCTTCTTAAAGAGTGACCTTGGAGTGAGGATGGGAGATCCCTGTGGACAGGCCTGCTGAGGGGATCTGGGTGCGAGGTCCCAGGCACAGGCCCCGGGAGGGAGCAGGCTTGACAATCTGGGCGACGGTGCCCAGGCTGGGGAGCGCAGTGAGTGGGTGGGGCGAGGACAGCCCTGGTCACCAGGTTCTCCCAGGCCACGGTCCGGAGCTGGAACTTGGAGTCATGTGTGCAGTGTGGGAGTCAGTGGGGGCTTGAAGCAGGAGGGGTGGGTCTGACGGTTGAGCTAGGTGGCATGTCGTCCCGTCTGGAGATGGGTATGTGCATCTCACCCCTCCCTCCTTCCCACCCCTAGAGACAGAGCGCCTGGTGGCTCCAGAGGGTGCCGCGTGGGTGGTGCACTCAGGCTGCCCCCTCAAATACCTGGATTTCTAGTTGGTCTGGATGGAATGGGTCCGCGTGGTAGCTCACTGCTGTTCCGAGCACGCACCCTGATGGCTGATGAGTTTGGGTGCGTCTTGATGTGCCTGCCAGCCATTTGGTAAAAACACCTCTCAGCCTGGTGGAGAGAGGCAGGGACGCAGGAGGGGCACAGACAGGCAGGGGCTGCCCACCAGGCAGGAGCTGGAGGCTCAGAGAACTGGGGTGGCCATGCTGTATTCTGAGTGTAGAGTAAGCAGGACGCAGGTGGTGAGGGTGTCAGAGGGGACTTCAGGCGCTCTGAGGTTCTCACCCTGGGCAGCAGGGAGAAGGGTGGTGCTGTTTGCTGAAATGAGGGTCACTGGGGGGTTTGCAGATTCATTGGGTTTTGGCTGTTGGTCGAGGGATGGAAGTCAAGATGGGGTGTCCTCGACCTCAGCGTCCCTCACTCTGACCTGTCAATGTTGGCGGGAGCTGTTGTTCTCTCTCTCTCCTGCAGATGGGGTGTCCTGGGACCTTAGCGTCCCTCACTCCATCTCTCACCAAAACGGGGTCAACATCCTCCCTCCCTCCCAGCTCCCTGTGCCACCTGGGTTCCAGGCACTGCCTGTTCCCCGTGGACGTGGTTCCCACCTGCCGCCTGGGTGTGGGTGGCTGGCTTCCTCAGGGGTCTTCACTCCCCGCCCCTCTCCTAGGCTTCACTGCCCGCAGCTCCAGCCACTGGCCAGCTCTGATGCTTCCTGGCCTGCCCCTCCAGCTGGGGTCATCGGTCCCGCATCTCTGATGCCCCCATGGGACCCGCCCCATGTGTCTTGCATCACCTCCAGTGCTCAGTGTCCCTAAACGAACTCCTGGCTTCCTCCTAGGCCTTCTTCTCTGGCTGTGTTCTCATTAAAATCACTGTGAGTTTCTAAGTCGCCCACAGGGCCAAGTGGAGCACCTGCATGTCGTTGGCTCCAAGACACACGCACCCCCGCGTTGTGACATCTCTGGAGTCACAGGGGTCTTGGAGTCAGCGGTGCTGTCGGCCAGGCAGCTCTGGCGACGTGGTCTTCACACTCGCACACTCCTTGCACTGCCTGTTTCTGAAGGACATGTGGTCTAGGGACGATACCACGAGCGAGCCCTTCTTAGCTCATCAGCTTTTTGGTTAATTCTCGGGCGTGATCTTGGGGGCATTGTGGAGAATTTCTGAGTTTAGCAGCGGTTGAACATGTCTGAGACACATGGCACCACTGGGCCTTGGACTGAAGCTTTCGGGGGAGAGCAGGCCTGCAGGGGCAGGGCCAGCCACTGAACAACCCCGAGCCGACGTGCAGTGCGGATGGAGGGGCCAGGCACAAAGCACTCGGGCTTTGACGCACTTTTGAAGCAGTCCCTTCCGTCTCACAACTTGCCGTACTCCACCTGGCCTGGGAAGGAAAGCCCTGCTGGGGCTGCCGCCTTCTGGGTCTTGGTGGTGTGCAGAGACCTGGCGTCCACCCAGCAGGCGGAGGCCACGGGCTTCTCCGGCACCTTCTTCTTCTGCTTTCCTGAGCAGAAAGCAAAGCAGGGGTCACCTTGCGATTGAGGGAAGGCACTTCCTACTCCGCCTCCTGCCAGCCCCTTCCTCTCTGCACTCCTGCAGCCCACGTGGCCCTCCCTGTCCTGGCCTAGGCTGTGACAGGCCTCCCCTCCTCCACACCGCTGCGAGGTCAGTGGGCCTGTCCAGTCCCTCCCCGGCTCCGGTGCTTGTCCCCCTGGATGGTTCTGCCTGTCTCCGGTCTGTCCTCTCCCTGGGTCCAGGCCCACCGAGTCTTGCCGACCTGTCACCCTGGAGAGGCCCCCTCCTCTACGTACTTCCCGATGCTGCCCACTTGTGAATGCCTACTCGTCTTTTGAGTCCCAGCCCAAGGGGCACCTCTTCCGTGAAGCCCTCCGTGGTTCCCCCAGCCCCTGTTCACCATGTCCACGCCCCCCCACTCTGTCCCACCACACCCTTTCTCAGACCGTCCCGTACTAGAAAAAAGCCAAGTACCTTCTGACATAGCCCTTTGACGGAATACTGTGCAGCCGTCGAAAAGGGTGCTCACAGGCAGTCTCACGGAACACAAAGTATGATTAGGGGTCAAGCAATAAGCCCCCTCCCCACTCTCAGGCAACCTTCTGCCTTTGCCCACGCAACCTCCCAGCCAGGCCGGAGCAGCCCACGCTCCTGGCCGCACGTCTTCTCTGTCTTGTGTGCACATTCCGATGTCACTTGAGATGTGTTTGTGGAGGAAAAGTGGTATGGAGAACCGAAACATGCTCACAGCAATCTCTCCTGGGTTGTGGGATTATGGACGTGTTTATTCTTTTACTGATTATTCTTTTTTTTGAGTTGGAGTCTCACTCCATCACCCAGGCTGGAGTGCAGGGGCACGCTCCCGGCCACCCCAGCCTCGACCCGCTGGGCTCCAGCGATCTTCGTCTCAGCCTTCCAAGTAGCTGGAACTACAGGGGCGTGCTGCCACGCCAGACTAATTTTTTAATTTATTGTAGAGATGAGGTCTCACCAAGTCACCCAGACTGGTCTAGAACGAACCTCTCACCTTGGCCTCCCAAAGTGCTGGGATGACAGGCTTGAGCCACCGTGCCTGGCCTACTGATTATTTTTAACTGGGCAGGGATTCCTTTCACGATTAGAAAGAGCATGAAAAACCCTGACTTTAGTCAGGACAATGATGCCAAGCTGTGGGCGCACCCGTATTGCATTCTGAGGCCAGTTTTCCCACTCGCTCTTTCTTCGGGCAGGTTTTATGGCCGGAAGATGGTGGCCAGCCTGATGGCGCACTCGGGCTTTGACGCGCTTCTGAAGCGGTCCCTTCCGTCTCACGACTTGCAGAAGGTCCTGGCGGCCATCAGGCAGCGGGTGAGTCTCCGGCATGGGTGGGTCACGGCAGCCCTGGAGTGGAAGGTGGTGGATGAGCTTCAGAGGCGTTATGTCATCCGCTGCCCCCGATGGATGGGGTCACTGCTGTCCCCTGTGCTCACACCTGGCTCAGCCTTCACCTCCCCAAGTTCTCGGGCCTCTCTGGCCTCCACCCCTGCATCTGTTAGATGGGGATCTTGATCTCTCTCAAGGCCTTGCTAGGCTCGGCCGTGGCCTCTGGAACTCTCCTGATGGAGCAACTGTTGCTCTAGTTATATCTACATTGGGATGTCGGTGGTCTCCAGAGGGCCATGTCTTCTGACTCATGCTTCGTGTGTGTTTTTTCAAGGGACTAGAAGACAATGGTGACCTCCCATCTGCCAAGGGCTGCGAGGTGTTGAGGAATCTGGTGGAGTGTGAGCACAGGCTGCCCACTGCAGAGGGGTACGGCTGCCTGGTCTCTCTGGGTCCCACGTCTAAGACTGCCAGCTGGCACCTGCCCACCTATGACCGGGCACTCCAGGGTAGACGTGGGATCTAGGTGCACCCAGGCCTGGCTGGGTCTGCAGCACTACGAGATGGACTTATGGGCTATGTCTCACCCAAGTCCTGGGCTCGGGGCATCTGTTGGTAGAAGCTGGTTCCTGCACCCCTGGCTGAGTGCATGCAACCCCTCAGGGTCAGTGGGCTGTGCCATGGGCCAGGCTCTCCTTTGAGCCCCCATCTCTCCCGTGAGTCCCCGTCTTTCCTCTGAGCTCCTGTCTCTCTTTGAGTCCCTGTCTCTCCACTTGCTGGACTAGTGGATCTTCTGACCCCCAAGTGCTGGCCTGGCCTAGAGGCAAAGCTGGACCAAGGGTCTGTGGCCATCAGAGACGGAGAGCCCAGGATCACTCCTGTGCTTGGAACCAAGTCCCTTCATTGTGTCTGGGTTGACCACCTGACTCCACGGCAGGCCCCGGGGAAGCCCCCTCCCCACTCTCAGGCAACATTCCGCCTTTGCCCACGCAACCTCCTAGCCAGGCCGGAGAAGCCCACGCCCCCTGGACCCATGCCCTCTCTCCCTGCTGTGTCCTGGACCACAGACACCTAGAATGTGCCATTCATGCCATGAGATCTGGTGCATCCAGCCCCTCTCCCAACGTGCCCTCCGACACCCCCTCGGGGGGCGGGCGGCCCTGTCTCCCCACAAGTCCAGCGCCTGGGGCTCAGGTGATGGGCAGGGCAGAGGAGGGGCTGGGAGCAGCTGGGGTGGCAAAGGCTGCGTCGGGTCACAGCTTGGTCCCTGGCACGCCATGGGAGTGTTGGTGCACGCGTGTTCCCTGAAGAGCCACACAGGCAGAGCACCCCCAACATCCAGAAGGAGCCCCGGAACCAGAGGGGAGGCAGGCGAGGCCCGTGTGTGGACTCTGGGTGAGCTATTGAGGGAACTTACAGACAGCAGCGTGGTCCTGGTGGCCGCGGGACAGGAGGGTCTCTGCACTGTCACCCCAGACCCTGGGGCACCCCAGGGAAAGGGACCCATGCTCCTGCAGGACAGCGAGAGGCAACCCTCAGGATGGCAGGAGTGTGGAGTGCATCACAGCCATGGGTGTGTGGGGATGTCGAGGTGATGCGTTCTCACACTAGGGACAGTGAGCACAGCAGAGGCAGGGGGCGTTCCCGGGACCAGGGCTGCAGGAGTCATGCGGTAGCTTGGCCTCCCAGGTGGGGGCGCCTTGTCCCCACAGTCTATGTGCTCTCCTGCTCCTAGAGGTGACAGGTGGTGACATGGGGTGGCCCCAGCACCCAGACTGCAGGGCATGTCCTGAACCTCGGGTGCTGAGAAGGTTGACCGCAAATAGTCTCACGTCCAGACCCGTAGGATGTTGGTTTTTCACCAACGAGTCTCCCCTTGGTGCGAGGAAGCCAATGGTCACTGCTTTGTCCCTGTGAGCACAGAGCCAAACGTCCAGCCCTCAGCATGGGAAGGGCCACTCCTGAGGCTGGAAGCACCTTCTGGCACATTCGGCACCCCCCCCGCACCCCCCCCCGCCTGAGTGGCGCCCGGGGCTGTCCTTGGCTAGGGCCTCCAGGAAACTGTCCCGTCACAAATCAAAGGTGTAGTCAGGCCCTCCCCTGCCTCTCGAGTTCATAAATCTTGTCCATTTTTGCTCTTCATCTTGGGGAATTTATGATTTGCTGAGTCTGTTGCTGTAGAACAAACAATATAAATCCAGCCCTGAATGACGGCTTGTTTCCAGCACCGCTCCGGGTGAGAGAGATTGCTGTTGGCAATAACCAAGGCTCTTGGTAAATCACCACGACCCTGGATTTATTGGGGAGACCCGCACCGAGCAGAAGCCGCCCAGCCACTTGCAGAGGACGAGCACCTTGTTGGGGAGGGACACTAACTCTTGTCTTCCAGGGGCTTCACTTTCTGCCTGTGGCCATGGGGCGGCCTCTGAGTGTGCAGGCGCTCTGGGCAACAGGGCCTGGTGCCTCATGTGGTCCCAGGACTCAGGGCCGTGTCCTGGGGCCCTACTGTGCCCACCCAGCTGGGCAGGCTGGAAGGGGGTCTGGGTGGCCTGTGCTTGTGGCTGTGGCTGCCAGGGAAGAGCCTGTTATCCCCCTTCCTCCTGGGATGGGTCTCCAGGGATGTGGCTGACGGGGCATTCTCCAGTTCTTCAAGGAGGTCTTGGCACAGGGTGAGTGGAGGCAGGTGCGAGGAACTGTCCTCAGGCTGGAGGGAAACAGCATGGCCTCAAGGGAAAGGGCAGGGCTCAGGAAATCCCACAGCCTTGGTGCCCCAGGATCTGTGAGCAGCCTAGGCCACTGGCCAGGCTGTGCCCAGGCCACGTCCTCTGAGCCACCCAGCAACACTGGCATTGACAGTGATGAGGTGACCATCTGAGTTCCACTCCAGGTGCCCTCAGAACTGGGCATCATGGTGATCTGCAGGAGACCTCGTCACTGCCAGGGACACTGGGGCAGAATTGGCCTTCCCTGACCCACTGTTGCAACTGCCCAGACTTCCCGCCGTCCCCGGGGCTGGGAGGCGGCAGCAGGGACTGTGGCACTAGGATGAAAGAGGAAGAGCTTGTGTCTTCCAAGGCACCTGCTGAGCCTGGGGTTCCCAAGGTCTTCTGGGGACCCTCGTGCCTGAGGCCCTTCATGGAAGTGGCTTGATGGGATCCAGCCCAGCTTCGGGGATGGAGGGAGCTTCTTCCTGTCCACATGGGGTTCTGGGCTCCCAGCTGGAAATGACCCAGGACATGCTGTGGAAAGTCACACAGCAGTGACTTGCCCTGCCAGTGTAGCTTCCTGCTAGATGTGGGATTGGGCCAAGAATCAGACCAGACTAGCCCGACTTCTGGCATAAAGTCCAGATGCCACAGTCACATGGGGGGCCCATCTCAGCAATCCCTTACACCCCTCTGGATTCTGGGTGGGACTGAAGGGTGAGCTTTCCCTATAACAATGGCCAGAGGGGCCGGGCTTAGTGACTTAGCCTGTAATTCCAGCACTTTGGGAGGCTGAGGCGAGTGGATTGCCTGAGTCTGTGGTTCGAGACCAGTTGGGGCAACTTGGCGAGACCTCGTCTCTACAATAAATAAAAAATTAGCAGGGCATGATAGTGCATGCCTGTAGTTCCAGCTACTTGGAAGGCTGAGGTGGAAGGATCGCCAGAGCCCAGCAGGTCCATGCCGGGGTGGTCGTGAGTGTGCCACTGCACTCCAGCCTGGGTGACAGAGTGAGACTCCAACTCAAAAAAAAAAATGGCCACAGGAAAGACGGGCCTGCTGCCAGGTGTAGGGCTTGGGAGTTTGCAGACCAGTGTGGGTGAACTGTGTCCCTGCCTTCACATTGCCCTGTGCTCTGCCAGCATTTATCCAACACCTGTTGAATGCTGTGTACCCAGGGAGTGTGGCCTGGCACAGTCTGCCGGGCCTGCATCTTCATGTGCTCCCCAATTCACTTATTTCTGGCTCTGAGGGACCGTGTCGGGGGCCAGGAGTGGGAAGCCCAGCTGTGTCCCGAGAATGTTCTAGACCGAGCATTGTGGGAGATGGCCAAGGAGAGAGAATGGCAAAGATGGGGTGGGACAAAGAGAAGCCCCAGGAACAATGACACAGGACGTTGCTGTGAAACCTGTCATGGCCACCGCCTTACCCCGGCACCCTGAGCCCGTCTTGCTAACAGCGATGTTCTAGAAGCAGACATCTCTTTTATCTCCCCGGACAAATCATCTGAGAGTCTTGAATGGAGTCCTGGATGGAGCTTTTGCAAACAGTGGAGATGCCCAGGGAACCTCTCTCATCCCTCCCAGACCCTGGAGGCGGGAGGAGTTCTCCTTAGGTGCGAGTCTGTGGGTGCCAAGGTCATGAGAGGACCGTCTGGGGTGACTTCCTCAGGCAGACCTCAGCTCTGTCCGCTGAAAAGAGGAGTCTGATGTGAGACGTCAGTTCCTGGGCCCCAGACACACTTGTGGCCGCAGCCCCAGGCCTCCCATGTCTGCTCTGAGTGATGCCTGGTTACTTGCCTGGCTCCCGCCGAGTTTCGTGGTGACAACCCGTGGGTGGGTACAGCGTGCTGGGGGCCAGTGTGTGGGGGTTTCCCATACTCCAGTCCTGTATATGTTTCCAGGTGAGACACCTACTCAGAACAGGGACACTTGTCTTGCGTGTCCTTGGCAGGAATGTGGGGCTTCAGCTGGGTCACTTGAGAAACTGTGAGGCGTTGGCTAGAGTGGGGGGAGTGGCAGCTTCTCAGTTCTGTAGACGTGGGGTCCCACGGCAGTGACTTTGGAAATAATAGGAGCGTAGCCTCCCTGTCCCGAGATGTCCCTACCCGTGTGCTCGTGATCTCATGCCAGCGGCTGGTCTCGGTCATAAACACTCGTACTGGGTTAGTTCTCACGAGGTACAGGTGGGCTCGGAACCCAGCATTGCCCTCAGCCACGGAACTGGGGGACTGGGCTAGCTGAGGGAGGGGGCGCTGTGACCGTTAAAAGCTCCCCTCTCCCCTAAACCTCCTTGAAGGTGGCTTGGGGCGTGTGGAGAATGAACTCTGCTGTGCAGGCGCTGCTGGACCTGGGCTCGACCCCCTGGGCTACAGTGGGGAGTCGGTGAGGCCATACGTACCCACACATTCCCCACTCTGGCCCCACTGAGCAGCCGGGTCTGCTCCTGATGGGACGACCAGCCATCCTGGGGTCAGGCTAGGGCCTTGGTGCTGGAGCGGGGAGTGCTGGGGCGACTAGGATGGCCCCAGAGCCTGAGCTCTGGTGACAGACCACAAAAGCACAGCGCAACCCTGTCACAGCTTAGCTCTGGTGACATAGCACGTGCCTCCCACCCCATCAGTGTTTGTGTTCATGTGTCCGTCTCCTCGTTGGGGTCCTCTGAACCTGAACCTCGAGGAGACGGGCCTGTGTTTTACCTGGTTCCTAGCCCCATGTCTGTCGCATAGAGGGTATCAGCAGGTGCTCAGAGTGGAAGGAACCATGCCTGGCTGGGCGTGGCCTGCTGTTTAGAGCATCATCAGGCTGGGAGGACGTCACTCCTGAGTTCTCACTTCAACCTCTGCTTCCTGCCCAGTGCCTTAGTCCCCTAAACAATGCCTATGTGTCCACATACCCATCCACCCATAGCTTTTCAGCTGTCTATCACCTATCACATATCTGTCTGTCTGTCATCTGTCTCTCTATCATCTATCTACCTATCATCTAGCTCTATCTATCTATTTATTTATTTATCCATCTTCTCTATCTAGTCTATCTCTCTCATCTATCTATCTCATCCATCATGTATCTATTCTATCACCTATCTATCCATCTTCTCTCATCTATCATATATCTGCTAGTCCATCTCCCTCTCTCATCTATCTATCTGTCTATCTATCTATCTATCACATATCTCTCTAATCTATCATCTATCTATCTATCATTGATCATATATCTATCTAGCCTATCTCTATCTCTCATTTATCTATCTATCTATCTATCTATCTATCTATCTATCTCTCTATCTCTCTATCTCTCTATCTCTCTATCTATCTATCCTACCATCTATCTGTCTATGGTCAACCTACCCATCATCTTTCTGTGTATCATCTGTCCTGTCATCTATCCTCTGTCCATCCATCCATCCATCTTTATCTCTCCTCTGTCTATGCTCTTTGTCTTCATCTCATGGCCATGTTGGAAGCACACACAACATGGCCCGTCCCGTGAGAGTGAGGCCTGCTTGGGAACCAGTTTAGCTATTTCGGGCCACTCTTCCCAAACACCCCACACACATTCCCAAACACCCCACACACATTCACCTGGAAAAACTATCCAGCTCCCCAGAAGCCTCCTGTCCATGTGTGCATGACGGGTAGGCGGTCTTGGGAACCCCTGTGCAAGCTCGGCACAGTAGCAGGGCCACTGATGTGCTGTCTCTTTCAGGCAACCTCTGCCTCCTGGCCGCGTTTGCGGGGCGAGTGCGTTTCCTGAGCGGCCGTGCGGCGCTGGATGTCACGGAGCGCCTGTCAGGTGAGTGCCTCAGCCCCCCTGCCCCAGGGTATCTGTTCCCTCCTGGCCTGTGACTGAGACATTCACCCACTTAGAAGACCTGGTACCACCCTCACAGAGCTCTCAAGATTTTGATAATCTGCTGTTTTGGTGACAATCTCCACAATGCCAGAAGACTATCTTCATTTTTGGTCAAATTGAGGCAAGTTTATGCAGAACCAACATAGTTTTTGGGAAGCGGTTACAGGTTGAGTGTCCATAATCAGAAAATCTGGAACTTATTGAGCACTGATGCGACATTCAAAGAAGATGCTCTTTGGGGGATTTTGGGTTTCGGACTTTTGGCTTAGGGATGCAGAACCAGCAGGTACAATGCAAATATCCCAAGATCTGGACTATGAAACCCGTTGGGCCCAAGCATTTGGGGTAAGGGGCATGTACTCTGTGTGCGTTTGGTGACAAGGCTCCCTCCGGCCCACAGAGCACCTTCGTGGGATCAGGCAGGTAGATACTATCCGGCGGCCGTGTTGCTTAGGTGGTGACAGCACTGTCGTGAGGATGAGGAGAGACTGCCTCTCCCCGGCACGCAGGGAGAGCACAGCTAGACTTCAGCCCTTAAGACCCTCGGCTGGGGCCAGGCGGTGTCACTGGGCAACAGGGCCCACGTCTGCTTGGCTCTCTGTCAGCTGAGGAGAGCTGGCCCAGTCCTCTCTCACTGTGCATCCTAGGACATGAGTCCTGCGCCTGGGGCTTTGGGTTTCGAGGGACCCTCCTGCTGCCCTCCTGCTCTGACCTTCCTTCTGTGATCTCCTATGCCTGTCCAAAGCCTCCTTCCCCATTGTGGGCCCCCCAAAATGCAGACGAATCACAGGATACCCCGTGGGCTTCCTTGGGAGGCTCTGGAACTGTCTTCAGGACGGTGTCCAGGCTCCCTGGAAGGGCCTGCAAAGCTGCCTGCCTCTGTAGGCCATGACCCTTCCAGTCACCCCCAGTTCTATGCCCTGGGCCATGTAATCCTCATGCCAGCCTCACAAGGAGGATGGAGACCCCATTGTGCAGAGATGCTCAGAACAAGGGGCACCCGGGCCCTGGGAAGAGTCCCGGGATATCCCCAGAGCCGAATACAGAGCCAAGCCCTCAAGGCCTGCCGTGTTGTCCTCCTCGAGCCCTCCCTGGGGCCAGCCTATGCCCTCCGCGTGCTGGCTGGCCTCCCACCCCTTGCCCTTGCCTGCCCACGGGGGGCTGCCCTGCCTGGAAGGCCTTCTCTATCCCTCTTCCTCCACTGCAGTGATGGCCGCTGGGCTCTGGCATGGCCTCCTGGCTCCCTCCTTCCATGTGATTCTCAGTGCCCTGCCTGCCACTGCCCCACAGCGCTCGGGGCTCAGCTCATGCGGCCCGGCTGGGGACCCGGTGCCTACTGCTCTCAGCGTCTCCACCTGTCTTCTGCTCTGGACTTGCCTTGTCCCCTGGCTCTGTCCTCCCAGTGTCTCGGGTACCAGGCTTCCCCGAGCAGACAGGGAGGCAGGGCTGGGCAACAGAGGTGGACACTGGGCAACACAGGGGTGCCCAGGTGAGGACAGCATGAGACAGAGACCACCCTGGTGCCATACATGGCTCCTTGGCTGCGGCTCGAGCCAGCATCCTCTGTGTGCTGCGCTGACCTGCCCCACCTGGTGGCTTAAGGACCCAGAGTGTCCTCGCTTTGGATTGGCTCTGTGGCCATCTTTTTGCATGTTTCCACAAGGCCTCAGAAACAAGAGTCTCTCCATGGCTCCTCTGTGAGCTCAGGACCCACAGAGGAGCTTGATGACTGACACGGCGTGGACTCAACAGCACAGCTCGGCAGGCGTCAAACTTCTGCCGGGACTCCAGCCCTGCTGAGCCAGGCACAGCAGGGTTCGCACTTTTATACTGATGCCAGGGGGGCCTCTGCCAGCTTCAGACACCCACCTGGCCAGCAGCGGCCCCGCACCCCTGCACCTGCGAGGTGGCAGCCTGAGTCCCTTAGCCTAGACGCGAGTGGTGGCTCTTCCTTGGGGAGGTGGTGTCTCTTCCTGGGGGGTTGTGGCTCTCTCTGAGGGGGTTGTGGCTTCTCCTGGGGGATCGTGTCTCTTCCTTGGGGGAATCATGGCTCTTTTTGGAGGGGTCACGGCTCTTCTTGGGGGCTGGCTTCCCAGGCGAGGGAGGTCGGGTGCAGGAGTTGGAAGGATGTGGCAGTCTGGGGAAGGGGCCCTGTCAGGGGCAGGTGAACCCCAGCCTTGGGTGGGGGTGGGAGCGTGTGCCTGGCTCTCACCTTCTTCTTGTTCCATTTTTTATTGTGTTAAAATACACATAAACTTTGACCCCTTGGCCAATTTCACGCGTACAGTTCCGTGGCATTCAAAATATTCATAATACTGTGTGGCCACCACCCGCCCATCTCCAGATCCCTTTTCATCTTCAAACCTGAAATGCCATCCCCGTTAGGCACTACCTCCCATCCCCTACCCCCCAACCCTGGTGACCCCACTTTTGCCTTCTGGTCTGTGATCTTGGCTCCTTGGCGTCTCATAGCAGTGGCACCACGTAGCACGTGTCTTTTGGTACTGGTTTGCGCCACTCAGTGCAGTGCCCTCAGGCCCGTCCACGTTACAGGGTTGGGTTCTCCTTCCTGTTTGTGGCTGCGTCAAATTCCACTGTGTGGGTGGGCCCCATTGCGCCACCCACTGTGTCTTGGCAGTCACATTCCTGGGTGGTCACGGGATGCCTCCCCTTGGGTGGTGTGGACACAGCTGCTGTGGACACAGTGTCTGCCACACCCATGTCTCCCTTTTCTGCGATGAGACAACTCCAATAACGCCGCTCAGTGCAGGCAGCCATCGGGGTCACTCGCCTCTTGGTTCCCTCTCACTGCCTCCAGGTTCCCTCGTGCCCTGCTCCAGCACCACTGGGTGCCTCCCTGTCGCTGTGCCTGCTCACAGGGAACGTGCCTCTGCTCTTTCCGACCCTCTGCCACTTTATGGAGATGCTTAGCCCATCCTCTGGATCCTTCTGGGGATCACGAGCATGCCTGGGTGACCTGCAGGGCACCTGGCAATCAGGCATCTCCCCTTCTGAGGGCCCTGAACTTAGGGCACCCTGGGGAGGTCCAGCTGTGCAGCAGCAGAAACCCTGAGGGTGTGGCTCGAAGCAACCTTCCCTGGGGAGAGTCACTGCGAGTGTCAGGCTGAGCGGGGCGGTGTGGGGAGCTCGTCTTCTCTGGGTTCTCAGTGTCCCAGGCTGGCTTTGACACCAGAGGTCCCCACCCTGTGGAAGACATCCTGGGGGACTGGGTGGTGATGAGTGGGAGGGGTAAGGGCACATTGAGCTTTCATTAAAAATATGCACAGCTCCAGACCAGCCCCTGGGGGTGGGGGAGCATGGGCTGGGGGAGCGTGGGCTTGGGGTCAGGGTGGCTTTGGTGCCTGTCTATCCTCAGCCCTTACAGGGCACATGCCTTGACTTGAGCTCTCTGTCCTCACCTGTGAAATGGGTGCACGCCCTGCTAAGCATCTCTATAAAGTGGGCACAAAACAGGGCCAGGCGTGCAGCTTGGCACCAGGGCTCAAGTTGCTTCCAGGACAAAGCCCGGCCCTGTAAACCCACGAGGCTGGCTCTCAGGGGGTCTTCACCAGCATATGTCCCTTGGCAGCTGACAGGCAGAGGCGTAACTGATGCCCCGAGGGTATGCGGTCGCCCCGAGGTCGGAGCTGCCCCTGCAGGGACCTGGGAGAGCCCCATCATTTTCTCCAATGGTGAAGGGCTGGCTGGCGGGCTCAGCTGACTCCTGGGTTTTCTGGGGTCCAGAGAGCGTGGTGGACCTTGGGCAGCCAGATATGGGGGCTCATCCCCAGCGTGGAGCGTCTGATGCGCATGTCCTGGGTTTGGCTCTGGTCTCCCCCAGAGGTTTGGTGTTCAGGCAGCAGGAGGCCAAGCTGATTTCACTCTGCTGGCTGTCTCATCTGCCAGCATACTATTGAAGACAGTTGAGACGGGGTCTCACTGTGTTACCCACCCAGGTTGCAAGCTCCTGGCTTCAAGTGATCCTCCCGCCTTGGCCTCCCCAAGTGCTGGGATTCCAGGCGTGAGCCACCACGCCTGGCCAGTTGGAGAGCATGGCACCTTCTCTGTGTCCATGTGGACTTCCACAGGGCTGGTATGGCTAATGTGATATGGTCCTAGCTATGATTGGTGTCCTGTCCACCTGGATGCAGGCGCCCCGCACACATTCAGAAGAAGTCACTGACAGCCCCCAGAGCTGCTTCCTTCCTCTGTGATTGGGAAGGGGACTTCTCAGCCACACAGCTGGCACATGGCAGAGGCAGGGCTGCAAGAAGTGTGTCTACCTTTCTCCTGTCCCAAGGCTGGGGACTCATCGTGACTGTTACAGGCCTTGTGTCCTGCCAGGGTCTGCCCTTCCTCCATGAAAGTGTTAAGCATTACATGTTATGACTGGGTGGCTCACGTGCGGTAGAAACAGGCTGGGGGTGTTCATTTTTTTCTACTGATTTAAAAGGAATGAGGGCATTTTTGTGGCCCTGTGTTCTGTGGGGCGGGGTGGGGGCTGGGCGTCATCTCTGGGGGCCAGAGTTGGCATCTGGAGAATGGGTCATGAGTGAGGGTGGGAGTGCCCGGCTCAAGTGACACTCCCCCTTTTCTGCCCGACAGTGCTGGTGGCCTCAGTTTACCCCCAATATCCTCAGGCCGTGGAGCGGCACGTCCTTCCTGTTCTCTGGTGCATCCTGACTGACATGGTGGCGAACGGCAGCCTGTCCAGGCGTGGCGGGAACCCGCGTGAGGTGGCGTCCCGGCTGTGTGGGGTCCTCCAGGGCCAGATGGGACCCCGCCTGCAGGATTTGGCCACCGGGCAGCCAGAGCGCGTGCTCGCCGTGCTGCAGGAGCTCTTGGACACGGAGGGTGCGGGGGGCGGCTGCAAGGCCACCGGCAGAGGGGGGGCACCTGGCAGCAGGACAAGGGCCAGCTCATGCCCCAGTCAGCAGGATTAAGGATGAGTCTGAAATGCACACTTATTATTTTTATCTTATTTTATTTTTTTGAGTCGGAGTCTCACTCTGTCACCCAAGTTGGAGTGCAGTGACACGGCTCACCACAGCCTCGACCTCCTGGGCTCAGGCGATCCTTCCTCCTTAGCCTCCTGAGAAGCTGGGACTACAGGCACGAGTCACTACGCCTGGCTTTTTTTTTTTTTTTTTTGGTAGAGTTGAGATCTCGTTCTGTTGTCCAGGCTGGTCTCGAACCCAGACTCAAGCGATTCTCTCACCTCGACCTCCAAAAGTGCTGGGATGACAGGCATGAGCCACCATGCCTGGCATCTTATTTTATTTCTATATTGGAATATCCTCCTAGACTATGCTTCTCCTTAGAGCTCCTGCTGTATATAGTATATTTTGAAGTAGAAATAAAAGATTAACTTATTTTTCTAAGGTTTTATTATCTTGTCCTTTTTTTTAATTTCCGGGAGTTTTCTAGTTAACTAGGTTTGTGGCAAACAACCGTACGTGACGGCCACAAAACCAGTTGCAGAGATGTTGAAACGGAGTGTCGGGAAGGATAATGACAAGCACAGTCCCTGTCACCAGCAGTCGGACGGAGTGCTCGTGGCTGGGAGGTGAGTGGGACCGATGCCAGCGCCTCGTCTATCCGTCAAAGCAATTTTGGAACTCTTTTTCTGGAAGAACGCTTAGAGCTCTCTCCATTATTTGTTGAGCTCTGATGATTAAGTTTGTGAACTCACCACCGTGCGCTTATACTGGCAGCACTGTACAGATAACTATTGGAACACCCTCCCTACTCACAGATCTGGCCCCCAATGACTTTTTCTCTTTACCCAAAGATAAGGGAAATATTGAAAGGAAGACATCTGAGGACATTCAGGACCTCAAGGGTAATACGACAACGACTCTGAGGGCTATTCCAGAAAAAGAGTTTCAAAATGGCTTTGATGGGCGGATGAGGCGCTGGTGTCGGTGCATATCTTCCCAAGGGGAGTCCTTTGAAGGTGACTGCAGTGATATTCAGCAGTGAGGCATGGAGCGCTTTTTCCAGGATGAGTTTGTGAACTTAATTGTCGGACCTTTTTTATTTCCAGGCCCCACAGGCCGAGGATGCCACGTTTCCATTGCCTGGGCCGCCGGGTGCCTCCAGGCCCCCCTCCCTACACCTGGGGTCATCCTCCTGGGCCTTGGGCTTTCCTAGGCGGCTTAAGACTCTGAGCTGCTTCTCACCTGACTGTGACCCAAGCAAGGGCTTCCTTGCCAGCGCTTGCTCTTTGGATTCTGCCCGGACCAGGTCAAAGGCCTGCTAGGCAGGCCGACAGTGGGTGTTCTTAAAGTTCTGCACGAGGTAATTCATTCTGTTTGGCTGTCATCGGAGCAAATGTTTTCCGTTTGGTGGAGAATTGCTTTTTGTGCTTGTTGAGACCCTAGAAATGGTCAGAACATTTCAGGACGCTTTAGAGCTGTAGGATTCAGGGACGGCGGGTTGGGCAGGGATTCTGCAGACTGCACCGACCTGTCTCCTTGCCCTCTGTACTTCCTGTCTGTCCCGCCCTCGAGGGTATGGTGTTGAAAACAACGAAGCCAGTGGAAAGTGAAGAATAAAGGCTGCCCTGTCTGTCCTCCTTCATTGTTTCTAGGACCAGGGCTCTCCTGGCCACACCCCACATAGGAGGGACAGGTGACTCTGTGCACCCCGGGAAGCTTGGGTCTCAGGAGACGTCCCCACATCATTGCTACTAAAACAAAGCACATAAGTAACCTGGTCCTGGGCCTGGTGGAAGTCCCTGTAGAAACCCACGGGGAAGAGTGTCTGGGGGGGTGGGGTTGCTGAGCCTCTGACCACGGGAGAGCTCTCCTCTCCCCCCCGCCGTGTGAGCTCATGGGGAAGCCGGGGGCACCAGATGTGGATGGTGGCCGCTTGCTGCAGCCTCGCCCATGGTGCTTGTTCAAGTGCAGGCCCCTGCGGTGTCCTTGGCCCCAGCCTCAGTCACTCGTCCACTCCTTCCAGGGTGTGAGCCTCTGTCCCTCTCAGTGTTCGTGTGACGTTCGGTTCCCAGGCTAGCTCACACCTAGGAGGCAGCAACCCTTAGCCAGTGTCTCCCAAACGTGGCTGATGGGGAGAGAGAGACAGGGCCTCGTGCTTGTTAAAGACTCAGATGATGCCAGATGGTGTGGTAGCTCTTGCCTGTCATCCCAGCACTTTGGGAAGTGGAGGCGAGAGGATTACCTGAGCCCAGGGATTTGAGACCAGCCCGGGCAACTTGGCAAGACCTTGTGTCTACAATAAATAAAAAAATAAGCCAGGCATGGTGGCACATGCCTGTCATTCCGGCTACTTGGAAGGCTGAGGCAGAAGGATTGCCTGAGCCCAGCGGATTGATGCTGGGGTGGCTGTGAGTGTGCCCCTGCGCTCCAGCTTGGGCGACAGAGTGAGACTCTGACTCAAACACACACAAATAAACAAACAAAAGCCCTCAGACTCTTGGTCTCAGCCCCAGATCTTTGTCTCTGGAGGGAGGGATCTGATTCCGGAGCAGGCAGGTTGGGGAACTGCATTTTAAGGCTGCCTCCTCTGGGCTCCTGGCAGGGGGCGGCATCCCTGCATGGGTGCTCCCTGTGGGGTGCTTCTGAGCCAGGAACCCCCTGGGGGCTCCTGCTGGGTCCTTGTCATGACTGGGTTTTATGTAGGGAGCGTGGCGGCTTTGCCTGTCCTGTCCCCAGTATCTCAGGGAAGATGCTTCGACTTCGGAAGGCTTGTTTTGTTTTAATCACGGCTTTGTAATTACCTCTCTGTGGGTTGACAGCTGTTATTAGCGTCACCTTGGGTTCTCCTTGAGAATTTTTATATCCAGCAAGTGAGCCAGTGTCTCTGCAGCTGGTGTCAGAAGCCGTGCACGTGACAAAACCTGACGCTTTACAAAGTCACCAGGTTCTGTAAACAGAGCCGGCCCTATGCCCTTCCAGAGGAGAAAAAACAGCTGGATAAACAGTTTTCATGAAGGCAGTTAGTGTCCTGGGGTCTGCCTTTCCCTGTCTCATTCACTGAGGAGCTGTCCCAAGAAGAAGGTCACATCTGCTCCTGTGGACGCATCTGGAGGCCACTTCAGGGCTCGTGGCAATGTACAGCAGGGTTTTTTTTAGAAGAACTTTTCTTTCTTTTTTTTTTTCTTCATGCCAGCAGAAGTTTTATGTGGGGGTGAGGAGAGTTGTTGAGGTTCATGCAGGGGATTATTGTTTTTTAAAATTCTCTTGGAAACATTTTGAGTTTCCATCCAAGATAGTTTGAGAAATGGCTGGAATTACAGCTGAACTTTGGCTGGCTGTGAAAAATAATTTCCAGGCCAGTCTCGGTGACTCAGCCAGTAATCCCAGCACTTTGAGAGTCCGTGGTGAGTGGATTGCCTGAGACCGTGGGTTCGAGACCAGCTGGGACAACTTGGCGGGACCTCTACAATAAATAAAAAATTAGCTGGGTGTGGTAGCGTGTGTCTTTAGTTCCGGCTACTTGGAAGGCTGAGGCAGAAGGATGGCTGGTGCCCAGCAGGTCAACACTAGGGTGGCCGTGAGTGTGTCACTGCACTTCAGCCTGGGTGACAGAGTGAGACTCCAACTCAAAAAAAAAAAACAAAGAAAGAAAAAAAAAAAAGAAAAATAATTTCTGGTACCAGATGTGGTGGCTCACGCCTATCATCCCAGCACTTTGGAAGGCCTAGGCAGGTGGATCATTTGAGCCCAGGAATTTGAGACCAGCCTAAGCAACATAGCGAGACCCCGTTTCTACAAAAAGTTAGCTAGGCATGGTGGTCGAGCCTATATTCCCAGCTCCTTGGGAGGCTGAGATGGGAGGAACGGTTGAGGCCAGGGGTTTGTGGCTACAGTCAGCTATGCTTGCACCCCTGCACTCCAGCCTGGGTGACAGAACAAGATCCTGTCTCTAAAAAAAAAGAAAAAGAGTTCCCTATTTGTAAATGTTGGGCAAAATGGAGAATTTCTTCCAGAGAAAACTCTGCTTCCAGACCCGGACCTCTGGATGTCCTGGATACGGCTACAGCTGTCATCTGGTCAGGCGAGGAGGCCTGTCCACATTGACTGACCATGTGTCTTTGGAGCAAGACATTCGCCATCACTCAGCCTCTGGTTTTTTTTTCTCATTTGCAAGTGACATTGACCAAATAATGACTTTGTCTATCTTGATCTTTTTTTTTTGAGTTGGAGTCTCACTCCATCACCCAGACTGGAGTGCAGTGGCACGTTCCTGGCCACCACAGCCTCAACCTGCTGGGCTCCAGCGATCCTTCCGCCTCAGCCTTCCAAGTAGCTGGAACTACAGATGTGCGCTATCACGCCCGGCTAATTTTTTGATTTATTGTGGAGATGAGGTCTCGCCAAGTTGCTGGGGCGGGTCTCGAACCTGTGGGCTAAGGCAGTCCACTCACCTCAGCCTCCCAAAGCGTGGGATTACAGGCTGAGCCACCGAGCCTGGCTGACTTTGTCTATCTCATAGATGCTTTTTCAAAGCTGTAGTGATATGTCAATGACATATCTTTTTTTTTTTTTTTTTTTTGAGTTGGAGTCTCACTCTGTTGCCCAGACTGGAGTGCAGTGGCTGCTCCCGGTCACCGCAGCCCCGACCTGCTGCTGGGCTCTGGCGATCCTTCCACCTCAGCCTTCCAAGTAGCTGGAATTACAGGCGTGCGCTACGGCGCCCGGCTAATTTTTGATTTATTATAGAGATGAGGTCTCACCAAGTTGCCCAGGCGGGTCTCAAACTCGCGGGCTCAGGCAATCCACTCAGCTCAGCGTCCCAAAGGCGCAGGATTACAGGCTGAGCCACCGAGCCCGGCTAATGATGTATCTTTTAAGAGTAGAGCGTTCCAGGCAAAGAAAGGAGTGAGCGCAACTGACGCCGGCCCCGTCCAGCACTGTGAGTGGGCTCCGGCTGGCTGGCAGTCTCACGACTTAACATGGAAAAACAGGAGGCCCAGACG